CGTGAGGTGTCTTGTTCCTGAGTCAGTGATTCTTATTACTGATTAACCACATAGGATTTAGTTGAGCAGGGTGGAAATTCCCAGTGTTATTCTGCGGGGAGAAAGTCGTGCTACGCAGTCCGGTTAGACTTGTTTGGGAGTCTTGAACATTTCCGAGTAGTTTCGACTACACTAACACCCACATGCTAATTTATTTACAATTGCTACATCATTAAAAGATCTTGGAGTGATGGAAAAATAAAGCTTGCATCTCCTTTTCTGCCTGTGTCAAATGGAGAAAGGAGGCCGAGTAAAAGGGAAAAGCAGGTGGCAAGAGAGAAAGTCGAGGCAATAATCTGCTTCTTTCCAGACATAGGAGGGGGGTTGCTGGGATAATGGAGGCCAGGAAGCCAGACAGGGAGGGCACACCGGCTAGTTTGCTAGCTAGCTCCCTGCCACGCTTCATTAGCTATTGTCATGTTGCTGCATGGCGGGGGCTGCTCATGTCTGTGTGTGCCTGTTTGTGTGTGACCTGTGTGTGTCTGAAGGGATGTGAGGCGGACTAGAGAAGATGGTGGAGGCAGTATAGGCCAGTCAAAGCTACATACACTGTGTGAATGTGATAGCTGCCGTCACACCAGAGCTGGATGTGATGCTTCTGCTGCATCGGCCTGGCTTACTGACTGACTGGATACATTCCAATACTCCACAACGCATCCTCTGCTGCTCCATCTGCCCTTTTATCCTCCCTTTTATATTTTCCTTATGTTTAATCTCTGTCAGATTTTTGCTAATACGCAGATTTGGTGTACTTTGAAAGTCTAGACAAGTAGACGATTCATTGATTGTTGGATTGACAGGAAATGACGTGAAATAGGGCTGAAAAATACAATCTTTTTTATAATCCATTTGGCTTCTGATTATTTTCTTATGTATTCAATAGTCTGTAAAAGAAAGAAAAATGCCCCAAATCAAATTTGTGTCCATCCAGTAATCCAAAAACCCATAGAAATTTAAAGAAGGGCAGCAAATCCTCACATTTGATATTTTTTCTGGAAAGCGACTAAAATTATTTTACTTTTATTAAGATATTTTCTGATTATTTCTCTTCCTATTGAAAGATCTGTTGTAAATGGATTTGTGTTCTGCTCTGCTGAACAGACAAAAACAAAGCAATTCAAAGACATTAACCTTGGTTCTGGAAAATAAATGTCAGATTAACTCATAATGACAATAATCATTGGTTGCAACCCTATTTAGTGTAGAGCTGTAAGTTAAGGGAGAGAAAAGGAAAGCAGGAAGGAGGCTGGATATTTGGATGTATCCTGTAGCTGGCGTTTCAACCGGTGTCAAGTAGATGAAAGAGGAGACAAGATGGAAATGTTTAGGTAGAATAGGAAATGGCTGGGCATTTGCGTCTGTGCCATCTGACGTCCACATATCTTAATAACAGTTATTTGGAGAAACCGTTTGGTCTATTCATCTGTTTTTGTGATGCTACCTTTCATATCTTCCTCTGACTTTTTATTTCCTTTCTTTGTTACTGTGTCCTGCTACAACAAGGCTCACATCATGCATATGAATTAAAAGCTGCTTTCAGACAGTGAACCAACTATTCATACGCCACTTTTTTTAATCTATTACATGCACCTTAAAGGATTTGAACTTTTCCTCTGTAAGCACAGGTTACACCTGTTAAACACACAAACCCTAGAATACACACTGACTAAAGGTGAGACAATCAGCATCAAACACAGTGAGGTTGACTCCCGACCTCTCAGCACTCGTATCAGCTACAAGAGCTACTGTACAAGCCAGTGCCTTTAACGTCTTGACCTATGGTTGTTTATTTATAAAACTCTTTTTTTTTTTAATCCTTACAAGAAATCTCCTCAAAAGGACATAAGCCCTCCCACCCAACAGCATTGGTTAGGACCTAAACCGACGTGCTGTCACCCTTCAGAGAGAAGCTTTAAGCTGTTCCCACGCAACAAGGATGTCAAAACACTCACACACAGACACTCCTTGTCCTCCATCCATCTCAGTCATGCCTCAAGTGCCAAGTTACACAACAGGGATCGTCTCTTTAATGCAAGTGCTCCGGAAAAACGTGTCACAGTGCTCTTTTCAAGCTCAAATCCATCCATCCTTTTGGTTTAAAAAACACGAGCTATTCAATGCATTCTGCTGCATTTTTGATGTGTGTGTGTGTGTGTGTGTGTGTGTGTGTGTGTGTGTGTTCATGGCGGCTGGGGTGCAAATGTAGTCAGAACATTTTACTGATATGTCCTAAAATGACCACAATTTAGGTCAAACTTCCAAATCAGGTCATGCTGCTTTAAGTGTAACATACACATAATGTCTATAACCTCTTATTAATAATAACCATGAATTGTATTGTGTCTGTACCTTGTAATTATAAACATAATCAAAAGCTGCATCAATTGTGTTACCATTGACCACAGGAGATTGAGGCGAGGAGACAGTCGCCCGTTTGGTCCGGCCAACAGCCTGATGACAAAATATATTCAACTTACAGTGATAAAAAACAAGAAATGCAATCATCACATTTGAGAAACTGAAAGCAGAGAATATTTGGCATTTATGATGGATAAATTGCTACAATTTATAACGAACTGATTACCAAAACAGACGATGAGTCATTTACCGTTGATTTATCACTTCATTAACCAACAAGTGACTTCAACAGAGTTCTGCACACATGTTTAAAGCATCTAATCATCTGCACTAGCATCTCAGTAAGATAGATCTTTCCAACACATTCCTTGCCATATTAATGGCGAGCTGCCAACTTCTGCAAATAGATAGTATGATGATGGCCTTATTTTAGTAAAAGCAACACCTGCTGTGATTACTATCTGCATGTATCCAGCCCAAAAGGTCACCCAGATGTCCATGTGACGCTCACAAAGCTCCCGATTCCTCTTTGATCCTTGGCACTCAGTCCAGCGTGTGGCATTCAAATTTGAGCATGGAGGTTTTATCAGTTTATTACAAGCGTTAACATCTATCTGGGAATTAATTGAGACAGAGATGATTAAACTCATGACTAGTTATACTAACTCATTTGTCGAGCCATTCTCGGATTTGATCAAACCAGCAGTTGCATGCTTTGTTGCTCTTGTTATATGAGCTGTTAGAGAGCAGCAGTTTGTGTATGAGTGTAGCGCTTTGTTGTTACCTGCCGTGCAACAAGGGACCGCTGCATTATTCTTAATTACAGTCAGACGGCTGTGACCCAAACAATAGAGGAAGGAAAAACTAGCCGTGTGATGAAATCCACAAACCTCATAGCACCAGGGCTGCCAGATGATCCTCTGTTTACGTGTAGAAGTATGTCTAAGGTAAGCACACAAATATACTCTTTACATGTGAATAAATATGATCATTTCCATCTTTCCATTCACTCTTAGATGCCTTACTACAGAACATATCTGTATCCACTACTACTTCCTGCTACTCCAAATTAAACTTCATTTCCTTCCCAAACTGCCAATGTAGCTCTGCTCTCCTCTGTGCCCAAATGCCCGTGTAATAATGCCTGATTTTGTTAGTGCCCATTCACTTCTGCCTGTTTGCCCACTGTGCTGTTTGAGTGTGCCAGTCTGGGGCCTGGAACTGCGTTGTGTGGATGGCAGCGGCTCTGCCTGATCGTATTTGGCACAGCATCAGTGGCTACCTGAGTCATCCAGTCTGCCTGCTCCTCACCCTCCAGCACCCGTCAAATCGAGCTCTTTCCGCATTTGCACACTGAAAGAGGAATGTGGGCTTGGTCCGATTACATCTGAATGGATATGGTCTCTTATGCATAGAGTTAAAGAGGTTCCGACACACCGCGATTTGACTGATTCGTGCTCAAAATAGAGATGAGAACCACCATCAACAGAGCCTTTGTTGTCAAACATTCCCGTCTGTCTTTCAATAGAAAAAACGGTCCTTAATTCACTGAAATGACTCCAACTAGAAAGCCCTAGCCGCTCCACCAACAGCGATTGTCGAAATCAGGATTATCCAAGCATCCCAGAAAAAAAAAGGTAGTGCTCACTTAGATCTTGTTAGTCTGCATGGGACTGTATGATTTGACATGAATAGGTACACATGATTAAAGAGGCAATTCATCTCTATTGAAATCCAAGGGTGGAATGGCTAGCTAGCCTAGATACACATGTTCGTCATAGATTTGAAACATTTTGAAAGGATGCTGTGTGTGTGTGTGTTTCTCGGTCTACATGTATTTTCAATAACCCACAGTGTGCCATGTGACTGATGAGGCCTTGTGACTTTGCTATTCCTGCTTAACATCGTCATTGGTTGTTTATCAATCTGTAAATATACGATGCATATCACCTGGTCAGAATATGATACAACTGCCTGAGTGTCATGTATAGAAGACATGTGGCGTCCAGAGGTGCCATTGTTCAGTATTGCTATGTACTGAGGTGCGTCATGTGGCTAGCTGTTGTCTTGCATGGCTGCTGAGATGCTGCTGCTGTGCTAATGTTGACGTGTGTTGACACTCTTGCTGTGTAAGCTCTGTGCTCCAATGCCATGAAGAGACACTATGTGTGTGTGTGTGGGTAGTCCTATTATTTTTGTCATAGATGTTGAGGCCACAGAAGGCAGCAGTAGCAGCTCAAGTGTGTATCTGCATGGTGTGTGTTTTAAGATGATGTGTGTATATGTACTGTATGTATGCATGTGTAAGGACATTCTGTTTTAGCAGCCAGGTGAAATGTTACAGCATCATGCAACAATGAACTACTGCGTGTTTTATTATTATTATCTTGCTACAGTCAAGACTGCTGTGACCCAGACAATAGAAGAAACCAGCCTAGGATACACAGACAGGAGGAGAAAGGACACAACACATGGAGGTGATGAGAGGCTTAGGGGGAGAGGAAGGGTACAAAAATAACAGGCAGATGGAAAGACATCCAAACAGACATATGGGGATGAAATTATACATAAGGACAGAGGAAATGGGGGTGAGGAGGTGTTACCTTTCGGGGGACGAGGATTTCTCCGAGTTCACGGACATGAGCGGTGCCTGTTAGCCGCTCGCTGGCCGAGGGACCACAGGAGACGGCGAAATAGAACAGAAAGCTGCCTTCTCCTTTTTTTACTATTCTCTCCCTATCTCTCTCTGCTGTGTGTCTGAGTAAAAGAGAGGAGAGGGTTACTGCCTCCCCTCCTCCTCCTCTCTGTCTCTCTTGTCCTCTCGCTGAAAGGAGAAGAAAGGATGGAGGACAAGGCTCTGCGAAAGGATAAGAAAAGAGCAGCAACTGTCCGGTGCACAATCCGGCAGGGTGCGTGTGTTTGCCTACAACTGTGTACGTGTGTGTGTGTGTGTGTGTGTGTGTGTGTGTGTGTGTGTGTGTGTGTGTGTGTGTGTGTGTGTGTGTGTGTGTGTGTGTGTGTGTGTGTGTGAGCTGATAGCGAGAGCAGCAATGTCAATCAGGCGCCCCTCCTCATGCCCCAGCCTCCTTCCTTCCTCCCTTTCCTTCCTTCTCCTCTTTCACCTTGCCTCTCTTTCACTTTCCCTGAAGCTCCGTGTTGTCTTCCTCTTCCCTCTGTGTCCTTCCTCCTTTGTTGACGCTGGTTGAACCCGGGTGATGAAATGAATTCACAGGCTCTACATCCACGGTGTGCGTCTGTCTCTGTCTGTATCCCTCCCTCCCTTCCTTCTCTCTTTCTCCGTCTATCTGGCTCTATCAGGCCTTCTGCAGCTCTGCACAACAACAGAGCCCAGAGCGAGCTGGAATGTTCCATTTTCTGCACAAGAGCAGGGGTGTTAGCTTGTCACAGCAACAGGAAAATTGATATATTTCTCCTCGAGGCGAACTCTCCTCCCCCTTTTCTCCCCTCTGAATCAGTCCCTCCCTCCCTCTATATTTCTCTCTCACACTCTCTCTCCCAATTGCCTTATTACGACATCCTGTATCTCAGGGCAACGCCGCACAGATCTGCCTTTCTTCAACCCCCATCTCCTCTCTTTCTGGCATCCTTCCTCCATTTCTCTAAACCTCATTTGCACCTCTATCTTATCCTGGATGCTGGTTGTGTGTGTCTCATCCTCTTGTGCCTCCATGCTTCCATGCCTCCATCCCTGGCTGTCCGTCTCTGTTTTCTCGCCATCTCTCCAGGCAGATGGATCTTCTACATGAGTGAAGCTCACAGTGAGGACGCCGCAGGGTGTGCCATGATGGGGGTCTGTCTCTAGCTCTCCATCTGACCTCAATATCGGTGTCTGTGTGCAGGAGTATGTGCTCAATCTATATGTACAGCATGTGTGTGAGTGTGTGCATGCATTAGTGTGTGTGAAAATGCACAGCAGGGGTTAAAAGGGCATCCTGGGGTTAATTTAACGGACAAGTTATCTAGGAAGTACTAAGGGGAAACATTTACAAGTGCTTATGGTATCTACAGATTCTTTCTCTTGTGATTATTCCAATTAAAATAAAGTAGACAATTATGTGAAATACAGACATATGCATTAAGGACTGAAAGGTGAATATATACTGTCAAACAACAGAGTTTTGTGAAATGATTTAAGGAGATAGCTGTCCCTTTAATATCTATGTGTGTTTGTAGGTCATTGCAGGCAATGTTGCAAATTAATATGCATGGATGCTTTATGGCAATATTAGATTTGCTTGATTGTCCACCAGTGTGATGGAATATCTTGTTTTGTCATGTATTTAATATATATATATATATATATATGTATTTAATATATATATATATATATATATATATATATATATAATATTCTGGGTACGTTTTCCCTATTTTTGATTTGAAATATTTAGTTTTTAGGGAAATATCTCAAATTAATTGCCATTAGAGGTAACATAAAATATATATAGCAACACATTCAAATGATTAAAACGAGAACAAGAGGAAATAATACCATCACAAAATCATTCCAATAAAAATCATTATGCAATACTATGAAAGAGCCTTATATTTGTTATGGCTTCTAATTTTGCACAAATACATTTTCATACACCGCTGCATGAGACATGCCTGAGAGATAGAGAAAGGAAGAAAACAAGAACACAATGATCCCCTTTCTCTCCGATCACCATACAGTTCCACTTTCCCACATAAAAGGGCTACATTAGGCACACATGTCTCTGAGCCAAACTATTGTCCTCATTCTCTGTGGATGTGGGCCAATGGGGTGTAAAGAACACACTGGGTCTGGAGGAATACTGAGCTAATGCGAGAGGGCGCACTCCAGTTTCTATTTGTTTATTTCGCATACGCATTTCTTTCGGGGTCACAGGAGGTGGGGGATGGTGCTGGAGGATGTTGCAGCGCCAACTGGATGTTATGCAGGAAAAATCCCTCACAAATCACCGGTAACACAAACACATTAACAAACATGGGTGTTATAATGAATCTGACCTGCATGTTGTTGGATCGAATAAGGAAAGGTGTGAGGAGATCAAGCTCAACTAAATACATAAAGCAATGAAACAGTTGGTCAGATAATCTGTTAGCTGTTTCACAGGAAAGTGATTGATTATTGAATTAATCAATGTATCATTTAAGCATTTCCATTCTCTTTTAAATGTAATTATAAGTTGATTATTTTTGGAGGATTTAGACAGACAGAGTTGGACATTTGAAGAATCAATGGTGATTGTGATTCACATTTTTCTGAGATGACATGTGGGTACCCACATGTAAGTACCCACATGTCTCCAGCAGCTCAGATCATAGGGGAAGGGTGACAAAGCACCAACATTACACCCTTCTGATTTTGATGAATGCAGCGGGACAATCTGGATGTCACGTTTTAATGGGGATAACGTCTACTGTAAGTGAGACTTTAAGACCCCTTTCAATAAAAAAGCTAAAAAACACACGTGCTTGCAGTCGCTCCAACATACAACCATTGACAGAGGGTACAGTTTTGCCAATTCAAAGGCTGATTTTCATCTTCATCTTCATAAGCAGAAGGAGCCAAAGGAGAATAAGAAAGATGGGGGAGGGAGAGAGATAATGACTCTCATGAGCAGTTGTATTTTGGGAGCCGGTATTGAGGCTGCCGGCAGCTATCTTTAAGCGGCCTACTTCTCCTCACTGCATGGTGGATGCTGGGGAGAGAGAAGGGGTTTATGCATGCAAACACACACACACACACACACACACACAGGTCCCATTGCCAATTCCCCTTGAACAAACAGTACACTTAAACACACAAGTGACGCCACTGACAGAAGTCACAGCAAAGCACAATCAATCAGACAAGAAGACAAATGCATACACAATGGATTAGGTGTGTGTGTGTGTGTGTGTGTGTGTATGTGTGTGTGTATGTGTGTGTATGTGTGTGTTAAGATGCTTCCACTTTAACAGTGACGCTGCTCTTTGTCAGAAGCCTTGTTGTAACTGTCTGCAGAGAAAACACTGCCCCCAAGTGGAGACACACACCATTATATACAGCACACACCAAGTGGCTTATCTTAAACTGTGTATGTGTGTGTGAGTGTGTTTAGGGTGGTCAGTGTCCAGATTGATTGACATACTTATAGCCCCAGGTCTGCCTGAGAGCAGATACTTTTTCTGGGCAACAGACTTCCATAAGGGGAACACTCACCTACTGTACAATTCAGATTGCATGATATAGCCTGTAGATACTGAAATCTGAACACACACGGAAAGGAAACGTCTCCTCAAATGCATAGCCAAGATGAAATGTACACTATAAATATGAGCGAGTCAAAGCCTGTACAATATCAGGTCCCTGAGCGGTCTCACCTCTATGCAATTCAATAATCCCTAATACCTGACATTTGGACGAGTCATGAGCTTCAATGTTGCTCCTGGCCTTTGCCTTAAGAACATTCTAGTGTTTTCTTTGTACTCACGTCACCTCCCATCACACACACACACACACACACACACACACACACACACACACACACACACACACACACACACACACACACACACACACACACACACACACACACACACACCACACACACACACACACACACTACACACACACACACACACACACACACACACACACACACACACACACACACACACATCACACACACACACACACACACACACACACACACACACACACACACACACACACACACAGCACACACACACACACACACACACACACACCACACACACACACACACACACACACACACACACACACACACACACACACACACACACACACACTACACACACACACACACACACACACACACACACACAACACACACACACACACACACACACACACACACACACACACACACACACACACACACACACACACACACACACACACACACACCACACACACACACACACACACACACACACACACACACACACACAGCACACACACACACACACACACACCACACACACACACACACACACACACACACACACACACACACACACACACACACACACACACACACACACACACACACACACACACACACACACACACACACACCACACACACACACACACACACACACACACACACACACACACACACACACACACACACACACACACACACACACACACACACACACACACACACACACACACACACACACACACACACACACACACACACACACACACACATACTGGTCAGTGCTCGTAATTCATGCAGACTCACACAGGTAAGCAGCCCGCACTTTCTATGCCTCATTACCCCAGGGACCGCACTTTGCAGCATTAAGTTTGAATGTGTGCACTTTGCAAGTTTAAGAGTGTGTTTTGGTGTTTGTATGCACAAAGTGGGTGAGAAGTAAGAGAGGGGGGGAGGGAGGGGGTATTTACAGTTTACCCAAAGCTAATACCAACAAAGAAAACTGTGATTAGGACCCAGTAATAGCATCTGGTCTTGTGTTAGGGTGTGACTGTTTATGTGAGTGTGTGTGAAGGTGAGCAGGAGCTCATTTGCTAAGTGGTGTGTGTTTAATGATGAATGAGTGACCTCCGCCCTCTCTTCCTGCACTCTGACCCCAGCTGCTTCACCGGGCTGATGTGTTGAATTAGATGATATCTCACACAGACAACACTTTAGACCTTACATCCAGAACGTTGTTTTACCTCAGGCCCAGTAGCATACTTAACTGAGATAAAGGTGTGTGTGATCAGTGTATTGCACATACACTGATGTGACCATTGTACTACACGATTTTTATGTGGAAAATAAGTAAAAACACCCAAAAAGACGTTTTAATTTAATTCAATTATGTGACAAAGAAAAAGCAGCAAACCCTCCTATTTCAAAAGCAAATATTTAAAATGTTAAAAATGACTAAAGGATAAATCAATGATACATTTTTTTTATTACAATTGAATTTTCTCTCTGAATTTTGTATTGAGAACTTTGTATTGTCATAAATTAGTCATTATCAGTGTAACAAAAACAAGAAGAGGGGGGGACATTGCCACAATGAATGCTTTCACTACAGGACCCAAAACTAGGACATGACTACCCTCTATTGGACAGATTAAGAACTACACTCCTGAGACTCAAACCAGTACACAATGCACTCTTCAATGCATTCATAATGGGATACAGAACATCAGGGAACAGTAAAACACAGCAACTTGGGAGGCCAAACAGGTACATCAAATGGTGGTTTTCCCCCTACTGTCATAAAGCATGTAGAGAAAACAGTCTTTGGTTGGGAGCTAAAGAGGCGTTCAA